GGTTTTGGAGTACAAATCCCATGATGCATTGCGCGTGGTTTTGGAGTACAAATCCCATGATGCATTGCGCATGGTTTTGGAGTACAAATCCCATGTTGCTTTGCGCATGGCTTTGGAGTACCTTATCCCATGATGCATTGCGCATCGTTTTGGAGTACCTTATCCCATGATGCATTGTGCATGGTTTTGGACTGCAAATCCCATGATGCATTGCGCATGGTTTTGGAGTGCAAATCCCATGATGCATTGCCCTTGGAGTGCAAATCCCATGATGCATTGTTCATGGTTTTGGAGTACCTTATGGTACGTTATCCATGGTTCAAGAGAACAAGTCCTCAAATTGCGTATGGTTTTGTCGTTCTTACCAAACAATCTTGACCATGAAAATTCTCCAAGAAACGGATTCTTGCCATCTCTTATTAACGAACATAACTTACAATCTGTGTATAGACCGTTTATTGCTATTAAAATAAAAACGTAGTTTGGAAAATGTGGACATATGGTGATTCGAATATAATCCAGGGGTTGGGTGTAGCCTACGTAATACACGATAACGAGGTTAAGGTAAAGCGAAGTTCTTATCCCCTCCCATGACATAAAGACCGTTTTCAGAACTTTTGCCGATTTTATAAAAAGCAATCCCGCCAATACAACCTTTTTACCTTAAGCGTAATGTTTTTTTCCATTTTAGACCACTTGTCATTCCCTTGAGTATCATTTTTTTTGTTTCAAGATACATAAATATGGATAGAACTCAAACAGAATCTTATTCTCAAGAGAATGACACTTGGTCTGAAAAGGGGAAAATGCGCCTATGGTAGAGGGCTTTTCATACCAATCAATTTGAATCTTCATTTCAACAATGTTGGGGTTCCTGTGGTAGTTAGACAAGTGGCTTGTTTTTCTACTTATCAACTTCCCGTAAATCTACAGCGCTTATCATATTTCTGTGACCACATAACTTAATACGCGACGCGTTTCGTCTTATCCATCTGTGACTAATTGCACGGTGAGTTTTTGTTTTATTCGAATGGGATTCAAAAGGTTCTGAAGGGTAAAAAATAAATACACAAGACAATGTTTTGTTAAATTAGAAACTATTTGTCATATATTGTTACATCAGACGTTATATAGTTATGACAAAAATGTACACACATTTTCTCTGGTATTTCACATTTCTCTTCGTAAAAATCCTAAACAAATCAAAAAAAGAATACATAACGTTTGGTCTTCTTCTAGATGACCTAACGTATATACATATATATATTAGGTAGGTTATGGTAAAATGTGTACATGTTGTGACATTCTTTGATTAAAAGTTGCTGTGGCAACGACTCCTGGTTTCAGTTGTTTTGACGCCATTTTTTCTGGTGCTCGGCACACGTCTATTTTCGCGAGCTTTTGAGCGTCTTTTTCATCTTCCTTCCCTTATATTATAGACGTCTTGGATTCATGAGTTTTCAAATGATTCTATGAAAACTATCCACGTATATAAAAACAATTAATGTAGCTTTCTTTGTCTTAAAAACAAAAACAAAAAAAATCTTTTTAAAAAGATCACTCAAAAACACGGTTGCGAACTTCGTTTCGTCAGTCTTTCTTGACCTTCTTATTGGAGTCAGTTTTATAGATCTGCGACACTGACGTTTATAGTTAAAAACGCTTCAGTTCAAAGCGTTTGTCTAGATTATAACCGTCGTACAATTGCATACAGTTCGATACAAAAACTTTAGCGAGGTTTGTCTTACGGTCTTGACGGAGAAAGTCTGATGGTCAGCTTTGTTCATATATTTACAATTCTCTTCAATTACATATCTTTAGAAAAGTCAACTTCGCAAGTAAGAATGGTCTAATGACCCTCATCTGTCTTACAAAATCAAACCAATTGCCTCCTTAGCTGTTTATGACCACCTTAAGTTGACGTACACAAACGCAAGCATTATGAACAACAAAGCATTCATGGCGTTCAAGGTCTGTGCATTGCTGTCCATATTTCTCTTTCCTAGAGTGTTTCCTCCATCATTGCTGGCTCCACCGCCTAACATATTGTCATCGATCGAGTTGTCTTCCGTCGTTGGGAAAACCGTTGGTGGTGAAGTGATGTCATTACCATCACCACTCTCACCGCTTGCACTACCACTGCCATCGCCACTACCATCAGTATCTCCACCTACGACGTTCACATCCTCTCCTGACAAAGCTGCGGTCAATCTGTGAGTCATGGCTTTTAGGACAGCAACCTGTTGCTCTACCTTATCCCTTGAAGAACTTAAAGATGAGTCGATGTTATTTTCTGAGTCGCCTGGACTTGTGTATCTGAAGGGAAAAGTTACAATTACTTTTTATAATTATTAAAGACTAGACAAATAGCTTTGCAGTGTCTTTGTTGAAGAATATAGGGGAGGGGGGACAGGCAGAAGAGGCAGAAAAATACACAACACTTACTTTCCAACAGCAGTGCCATTCCAACAGTTTGCAGAATCAGACGATGATTTTGGAGCTGTACAGATATTTGATGGAAGATTTTGCCAAAACTCTTTTGCTGGCTTTATTTGTTCTTTAAACTTTTTAGTTATTCTACAAAAACAAGGGGAAAAGTTATTTTTTGAAACATTTAAAGTAACATATAATCATGTATGATGTATGATGCAATCACATGTATTCTTACTTTCCAAGGTTCATTGTTGATAGTGTAGGTGTTGCAGAGCTGGGGTCATGTTGTTTCACTTCACGTCGTATTTTTCCTGGTTCGTCAATGAAGAAGTCACTATCGTCAGAAGACCGCTTTGTTTTGGCTAGGGTTGTTGGTGTCCCACATCCAGTGAAAATCTGGCAAAAAAAACAATCAAAGAATTGTTGAAATTATGTTCCATGCATGATGTTGTTGATAGGAAACATGGTTGGCACAAAGGAGAGAGCACGCGCCTCTTATCAGTGCAGCCCTGGTTTGATTCCCAGACATGGCTTTCATTATTTAGATAGATTCCAGTTGTTTCTTTCCTTGGTTCAAGGTTTTTTCTCTGGGTTCTCTAGATTTCCCTCCTCGATACCTGAAAATCAGCTTTCAAATTCCGATTCGATCATTGAACAAGGGTGAAAGGTTTGTTAGCTACTGGCTATTAAGTGCTACCGTCGTAAAAACCGGGATAATGGTAATAAAAAATAAATAAATAAATTTCTTCATTTAAGTGTCTGGTCGTTCAAGCACTTTCGCACTAATTGGGGACACTTTTCGCTCACACGAACTACCATTACATTCAATGTTCTTTGCACACAACACTCAACTCACATGTTGATTTTTACGGAGGGAGGAAACCAGAGAACCCGGAGAAAACCGTTGTAGCATAGGAGAGAACAAGACATCAAACAAACTCAATTCATGTGACAACTGCAGGGCTCGAACCAGCGACACAACCCGTTGGACTCACAGCGGTGAAAGATGTATGACATGTTAGCAGCGTACCCCACCCATGCTACCCTTAAATCGTAATGAAGCTGGTGATAGTAACAATGCATAATGATGATGATACTACCAGAATCCTTTGAGTAGTTCCTTCTTTTGGCCTAATAAAAACCATTAATAAAGCCAACAGAATCTCACAATTCCCAAAAGAGTTAAACATTTGATTGAGAAAAAGAGTTTAAAAAAGGATTCTTTAGGATTAGTATCAAAATGAAGTCATTCCCAGTTCTTACCTTTTTTGCAACTTCAAGATGTTTTTCTTGAAAGTTCATGATGGCAAATGAAATTTTCACTCCAAGTGGATTGATGACACTCTCAATGCTAAAAGGTCCTTCAAACTTGCCTGACAGGTCCAGCAATGCAGTGACATAGCTATTCCATGCAGCATTTACTCCGTTCAAGTTAGAGAAACAGGTTTTGTAGGTGTCAGTACAGAATGTTGGGCAGGGTTTCAAATCTGTTTGTCCTTGGCACCAAGAACAAAAAGACAACTTAGTGATTTCTTTTTCACACTCATTTGTGGCTGAGATTTCCTGGAGCTGTTTCAGTACACTGGAACCAACATTTAGTCCTTGAACGAATGCTCGTGCAGCCACAAAGGCTCGTTTGACCTGTACCGTCAACTTCTGTTTTTCATCGCCAAATGGTTTAAGATCATCCATGTGCTGAGTCACACAATCCAAGTAGCTATTCTCAAACTTGTATTTTGAGTTCATCAGTTGGAACATTTGTTTCATCAGATTTGCAAAGAAGTTATTCATGACTTGAGTAAGATCAAGGTTCTTGCCTTGGTAGTACTGAGTGAGACTGAGAAACAGGTCAACGAACACCTTGGCGTGGTCTTTGTAAAAGTTGCCATAGGTTTTCAGAAACATAGTATTCAAATCCCTCTCTGAATTCTTGATGAGTTTTTGAAAAAAAACTGCAAAAGAAAATTAAAATAAATTATTTGATGCTTGTCGAGACGCATCCATGTATTTTCAATGCCACAGAATACCAATCTGTACCATTCAATAAATCTGTGACAAAGATAGACTACAAGCCACATAAGCATAACCCTATTAATTTAAGAGAACAATATATCTGCAAAGTTAAGTAGTTGATCCAAAGTTGATCACACCTTTCAACTGTCTCATTATCACTGGACATTCTCAATAAAGATACAATCCAAAACTATAATCACTAATCTCATATATATCCTTGCTAGAAAAATTAGGACTAATTAAGAAGTTCTGGAAAAAAAAAGCAGTTTATTGACTATACTTTTAAATTTTTGTGGTACTAAAAGTAGAAATAAGGTATTGTGAGAAGGAATGAACAAATCAAGACTGTCACAGCATTGTGTGGCATAATTTTGAACCAGCAAAAGCTTGTATGAGAGGACACTTTGAACTCAATGGAATAAATTCAAATCATCTTACACACCCAAAATTAAGTGAATATTGCAAAAAAAATCTACTTATATAGAAAAACATAAAAATGAGTAATGTTGATTGGAAGTTAGTACATGACAATATTAACTATATCTTGCAGTGTTGATTGTAATGAGCACTCAATTATCTCAAGAGTTGACAAGAATAGCATAAATATTAGGCAGCTTATCTCACAAACCATTAGTACCATCTGATTCAAGAACTATCACAATGTTAATGGCAACCTTATTTAACTTCAACTATTCCAAGACTGATTTCTCGATTCATCACTAAGCAGGGGTTAAATACTCTAATTATACATGAAAGACAGTATTATATATTGAAACTCTTCGTGTCTTAAATCTGCCTGAGTTAGCACAAAATTTATTTATTTTCTCTTAGCATTCATTGTTTTTGTAACAGCATTTTACAATATTATTTTCATCTAAAGAAATGATTATGACCCATTTCCAGTGATGCGGTACATGTATATGTTTATATTGTTACCATAATGAAACTACATTCACTTAATATCATTCCACACCTTAGCTTAACAACACAAGAATGACCATCATCAACATATGCACAATGCACAAACCTCTATCTGAGAGAAATTACAATCTGAATGACTTAAGAATTTGAGGAATGGAATACATCTACTTTTACCACATACTCTCCAAGTATAGTCATGGACTGAAGATTTGGGACATTTATATTGCTTCCAATAAAAGAAGAAAAAATCTTCGGTTTTTTATCTATTTAGGTGCCATGCGCTTCTCTAAATACAGCATTTTTACAAACTGTATTTGATTTTAAAAAATCATGTGTATTTTTGGCTTCAACACGTTCTTGTTTCCAGTTGAAGGCTTAGTGGAGTTATTAGTTTTTAAAGGCCCCAGGGTTAAAAATTCTCATTAGTGACAAACGTATGGTTTTCATTAGCAATTCGACGCAGAAAACGTGAAAGTTTCAGCCTTTAACCTTGTGTGTTTACTTAATCAATTATTCCTCAAAAGACTTAAATTTTAATCGTGTTAGAAGTTAAAACGACAATACCAATTCGGCTTTTATCTTTGTCGTGTCGAATCACTCAGGGGGTAAGAATCGGCTCAGAAAGGTTGAATCCTAAAACCTCCCACTTGAGAAACGACAAACAAAAAACATGAATCCGTTCTACACTTCCCTGGTTTACTAGTCTTTCCTTTCAAGATTCATTTGGTAAATCCGCGCGCTCATACTAGGTTTTTCGTTCTTTTTTTTCTTTAAATTTCCTATTATTTTTCCCGCTTTACATGACTTAAAATTACTGAATATACAAGGTAAAAATTCGCGGCTTATTCTTACAGTATTCCCGCAAAGGCAACATGATGAGTAGATGGCTATTTTTTTCTTGTTTTAGAGACATGTCAGTTTTATTATACATCATATTCATCTTCTTTGTGCTAGGGGGGTTATTAATGCAACATAATGCTGTACTAGGGCTAATATATTCATCGCCATCCTAGCGGGGTATCAAAAATATACTTTTGCGGTTTCCAAGTAAAGAAAAAAAGAACATTTGAGTTTTCATACCCCCAGGCTGGCTTATAACTTGTAGTACAAGCTTTTCTTCGAACCAGGGACGGATTACTAGAGTTTTTTCCCTTGTTTTCGATTAATCTAATATAGTTATAATGTTCAGGTTTTTTCCCTGCGTAATCCAATCTAAGAGGGTCGGTTCGATGAAAAAAGATCCAATGCTTGTGATAGTGTTTGACATTATCATGCCGTGTATTCGCACCTCAAATTTGAAAACTTCCCAAACGATTCATGCATTATCATACGACTATTTTTCCATTCTCATTTAACGCTTTCTTTCCTCAAAAGGTAAAGAATTGTGATCGTGTGTGCTCCCTAGCGACAAGTCAATATATTATGGCGACATACCAAAACTAACCCCTCAAGGATCGAGTTACATCTGGCTGTTTCCGCTTTTCTTCATAATCTTTGTTCACAACGTAGTCCAGGATTGTTGAAATAGCCTAAACTGAGGTCATTTAGAGGGTCTTACGGGGAACACAAGCCATAATTTAGACAAAATACAGTCGAATAAACAAGTAGAGTTTTAATTTCTAGCTTTGTCCGTCGCTTTCATCAGGAATCGTGTACAAGTACATTCTTGTTTACCTTAGCATTTTGCTCGATTTCCTGACGCTTTCAAAACCCGATAGTCTCATCACGATTTCTTAACTCTTAATGTTTCAGCTCTAAACTAGAATTTAAAGTTTTAGAGCTAATATACAGCTGAAATTCGTTTATGGAAGATAAGAAACACGTGCCGTCGTCAAATGCATTCAGATTTTAACCAACAATGGGTAAAACATACATAGTCCTCGCTTCGTTAAACTTCCATATTTAGACAACATCAAGAAAAAATCACAACCTAAAACCCACAAAAACTAAAACTTACCGTCGAAGACTTTTCCATTAATGGCGAATATGCTCTTTAGATTGTCCGTCTTTGCTATGAGAGCGACTTTAAACTCAGATTTGGCGAGTCCCGCAAAACTGTCCTCCATTCGCTTGGAGCAACAACTTTCACTTGACGCTGAACAAACTTTTAAGCTTGAATCTATAAAACAAAAAAATCCATCAGGACGCGTTTGAGAGAAATGTCGAAGGCAAATATATTAATTTCTAAGTCTGTAATTCAAATCGATTTAATCGATAAGGAAAAGTCCCGCGATTTTGGCACAAAACAGCCTCAGCATGAGTCTGCCCTTACTCACCAGATACTGCTTTCGCGGGGACATCACTCTGCAATAAACCCTTGGCTATATATTTCGTTCTAACTGAAGTACAACTCGGCGTTAATCCATCCACATATGCCAAAAAACAGACCAAAAAGCAGCCCAACAAAGCGATGTAAGTGGCCATTTTGGTTGTGTAGACAAAAAGTAACGGCCTCAGATGAGTCTAGTTTGACTCTGTTGGTTGAGCTGCTCGACGCGTGGTTGTTACTAGACTTTGTTGCTTCGTCGTTCGCGATCGTAAAAAAAGATCACTTGCTCGCTGTTCTCTGCAATGGCAAAATAATGCGAGAGCAATTTTTAACAGCAGGGTGGCGAAAGAACACCGTACGACTCGCCGTGGAATGCTTACACGTCGAGTCGATAATTACTTTGCTTGTCTCCGATGACAAGAGCCACACAATCAGGGCCATGCATTACGTAAAAGGGGGGCGGGAGTTGGACGACTGGCCAACCAATCACAACACTACTGCCCAAAATTCCATAAATCATACTCTTAGTTGACAGTGGTTCACGCCAAGTAAAATCATTATATGTTTACTTGGATAACACTGCACAGGTATACTTAAAATACAAGACTAGTGCTTTAGTCCGTTGGCACTGACCTCTGAACTATCCATTATCAGTATACATCCACGGCTTATGTCTTGAAACGTGATTTATTCAAATCTTTCTTGACGTTTTCAAACAAACTTAATTTTTTTTAGATAATCGCTTTTGTTCTAGCAGTAGAAGGGATTACAAAGAAACCCGCAATAGAGTTTAGGCAGGCCCAATGAAAAACGTCCTTCATCTGTGAAAGGCTTAAGACATGTCCCACAATGGTCCATATTTAAGCTAAGAGGTGTTAAAAGACTTAAATATATGCATGGGCGAGACGTTTGCTACTAATCACCTCCATACTCCGTGTGAGTTTTATGACTCAGACTCGAATAAAACGACCAAAAAGAAAGAAGCTTAAAATTTTAATGTCAAACTCTCAAACGCAAATGCTCCTCTTAAGACTTTTAGAGCTCAGATGAAAAAATAGTTGATAGAGTAAACTATTCAAAGACAAGTATGTCAGAGGAATGGCATTTCCTGGCATTTCTGTCGGTCCTTTTTTTGCTCTTTATTTTTTTTCTTTTCGTTCACAAAAGAGGGCTGGTTTTCTTTCTTTCTTTGTGGATAAAAGGGTATGACTCACATTTTTTTGTATTAAAAACACACTGTAACAAAGTTACAACAACTTTTTTAATTGACGAAGAAGTTAATTTTCTTATTCAAAAACTCTCCAGGTAAAAATATTCTTTTTGCCGACGTCTTAATCTTATCCCCGCGTCAGCTGGCTCAAAAATAGCTGGTTTTCATTATGCAGACATAATATTTAGGAAGGCTCTTTCATACAAACGCCTTTAGAATTGGTTGGGATTGAAACCCACTTTCAAACATTTACTTAATTAAATACATCAGCTTGAAAATGAATGTCTTTGTTTATCAACTAACACCAGGAAAACACACATAGCTAAGTTCCTAATAAAACTAGAACAATTAGTTTGAAAATACACATAGTTTTGTCATGATTTTCAATTGTTTGTGGACTTGTTAGGTTTAGGATATTCTCAACGTGGGTCGCGTAAATATAAAAATGAAGATTTTTAATCAATAAATCTTTAACAATGTCTCAATACGATTCAAAGAAAGTTTCTGACATTAATAATTTAAAAAATATATTACTACAAAATCTTGAAATATCGCTGTCAAAGATAGTAAAAAAATAAGCAAGCACGAAAACAAAAAAATAGGCATAACAATTGACAATAGACAATGAAAATTGCTCAAGTTTCAAGATTTCTTCAAAAGTTACTCTTGGAAAGAAAATTTTAGTAAAAGGTCTTAGGTTTTCAAAAGAAAGTAAAAACAAAAAACTAAAAAAAACAACATTACTTTCATAGATTTTACTCCGCGAAAAATAACATAATAAAGTTGATGTATGGCCGCTCAGAAGGAAACGAGAGAAAACAGTATATATGGCATCCGAAAAAAAATCACGATAATACCTTGTTTTTTTAAAAGGCTTCATTATTAATAGAGATATCAAAAATTCCCACATTCCCTGAAGAATTTCAATCATGTTTTCCATCATTTTAAGATTGTCTAGACGACGGAAGCTTTAAGTTTTGATAGTATTTATTTTTTATCTTCAAAGTGAAAATAAACATTGCATTTTTAGAATACTGTGTGAAGATTTCCGAGCCCAAAAGTCAAATATTTTTGATCCGTACGTCTATACTCACATAGGAAACACTAATTGTAATCGTCTTTCGTGGTTTTAGAGCGTGGGTTAAGGATGTCTAACATACGGTATCATTATACTATCTTTCCCGTATCGCTGGACGATCAAACCTCCATGTTAGACTATTATATATTATTGAACAGTTTTTATCTGAACATTATTTTATCAAACGTCAATGCTTATTTACATTAGATATTCGTTTGGATTCCACTTTGGCTTTTCTCGTATTTTCACCTTTCTTTCTTTCTTTCTTTCTTTCTTTCTTTCTTTCTTTCTTTCTTTCTTTCTTTCTTTCTTTCTTTCTTTCTTTCTTTCTTTCTTTNTCTTTCTTTCTTTCTTTCTTTCTTTCTTTCTTTCTTTCTTTCTTTCTTTAATTCTTGATGTATGAGCTATGATAGTTCATCAAAACGATCAAAAACTTCTGTGAAGGAAGGAAGGAAGTAAGATCTATGAAACAAAGTTCAGTAACAGATATGAATTATTATTTTAACTCGCTCTGCTATGATTAAGTAAAGACACGACACTAAAATATATATATAATTTGATATCCTTCAATTTAGACAATTTTGAAAACAAGTCTACCGTGTCTTTGTTTGTGGTTGACAAAGCACTATTAAGTATTTTCTTCGAATCAGTTGGCAAATCTTTACCGCACTAATCAACCACACTTGATTTCTTGTAGAGATTGAAATCACGTGACAGCCATCCCGAAATCTTGATTTAAGCCGGAGATTTTATATCTGACCTTGGCCAACGATATTGTGATGTTTGATATATTCATAGAATATGCACTATAAATACGTCAAGAAAAAGAAAATGGCGATTTTTCACTTAGGCTTTTTTCAGTATATTTTTTTTAATATCTTCTTCTAGGTATAGTCACGTGGCAGGAAGGATTATGATTGGAGAATAGCTATCAATATTTTCCGTCTTATTTAATGAGTGAAAGAAATTTTCTGTCAAATTCGAAACAAGGGTTCATTTCATTTGTAAGACTTCAGCATATTTTTGATGTCATCGAGCTATTAAGATATCCAATAAGACATGTGGTCCTGGTAAAGTTAGAGAATGCCGAACCCGGAGGGCACTCCACCGGCAATCCAGAGTAATACCCATACAATTTATCAATCATCTTCAAAAGAAACTGTCCAAAATAAAGAATTACAGCATAAACCTATTAAGGGTGACCTTTCTTGTTTCATGGTTTCCCAAGCAAACCAGCTTTTAATAGTGTAATTTGCTAGTAAGAACATCGCAAAAAAGTTGGTGAGTTGCACGCGATGTTTTACCACTAATCCTTTGAGAATACCCTTTAGCGCTCTTTTCAGTATAAGCGGAGTTATTTTTGGTGTTTCACTGGGAAAAGTGAAATTAAATAACCAGTATATTATCTTTTTATCATGAAAATTAAGTCGCAAAACAACAAATTTTGACTGTAATTCGGCATTTTTTCATCTTCTGTCATAACATAGGCATTCATTCAATTTTTTATTGGCAAAGGCTCCAAGAGGCTTGTCACCGATAGTTCAAGCACTTCCTTTAAACTTCCAGAAAAATCTCGAAGGTTTATGACTCTAGTTATCAGTCATCAAAAACTGCTAGGCTTTGTGCTATCGGCCACATTTGTTATCACTAATCCCTGAATGAATTATTTATATACGCCAACGAATGCACCGAGAACTCTTGACAAATTTTAATTATACAAGTACGAAAATAGCTGGAATATTTCCCGACATTTCATTAATTGGTTGCGGAATATTTGGAGGCCACCGAGATGGTGATGCTCATTTTTAACCCTCTTTGTACAATATTTAAATTAGAAGTCCATAAATTGCTATTTAAGTGGTTTCTGAAAGCTTTTAAAAGTTAATTTGGTCAAAATGAATTAGCGGTGTATTCTCAAGTCCAACATTGTTGGTTTATCGAAGGTTTCGATCTTTTCCCGTTCACAAACACAACCAATATCAACATATATATCGTGTTTCCTCTAATCCATTTAAAAATTTCTGATATACAGACATGTTATGAAGAGAGCCTACGTGCAAAGCGGCGCGTTTGCTTGCTCACGTTACTTTGACCCTGTTTAACTTCAATAGAATTGATGTAGAACTCTATGAATCTACCGCCTCAAAAACCCAACAGAACGACCCTTTAGCCCCTCGAGTCCACACAAACAAGTCCAAAGTGGTATTTAAAAGAGCGAAACGTTTGCGAATACGACTCTTTGAACATGAAGAAGACTAACGATAATGCGAAATCATAGTTCGAGAACAAAGTCCAATTGCAGTCCTTTTGGGAAGAATGACGTAATCTATAAGAGAGCCCCATTCAAACCAGCTTTGCTGAACTGGGCACCTCTGTATGAATATTGTTGATAAATAAATAAATAATACCGACCTGAAATCTTGTAAAAGGACTGCGTTGGATATAGCCAGCTATTCGAGTGCAAAATGTGATAAACGAATTGACCGCTTGTTTTGTCTTGGTCAGTTTTAGTAAAGTGATCGTTGCGAAGATACTGGTACTAATGAACAAAGCAATCTCTCATTACTGGAGTGTTGAAGCTAACTGACCAAGATTGATCCGGTGACCGATTGTGACCGAATACTGTACCTTTAAGATAGCTTATCTGGGTTCCAAAATGGCGGCTACTCGCATGAAGACGAGGCTTATGAGGCTCAAATCCTATTCTAAATTTATAAGTTTTGAAAGCAAAGATGAAATTCAAAACAGCATCTATATAAATTCTGGAAATGTGCAAATGTGCTAACTCTATTTTTCTGATTGGATTTAATTAATATAAATCAGTAGGACTTCCTTGTATAAGGGGAATTCTGCCCATTGACCATGTTTTTTGTTTGCGTCGAACCCAGACAAGCAGACGACATCAAGACCGGCCCATCTGATTCATTACTACATACCCCCATCTGCGCATCTGATTCATTACTACATACCCCCCTCTGAGCTTCATCAATAAATAACCACTACATTCATTTTAACAGCACGTTCTTTATAATTGCAATATTGAAATCAAACAGAAAAAAAACCAATTCCATCAAGCAATTTCGGTTTCATTTTATATTTTTCAGAAACTTTTTTCTTGGCATTTCTCGTGCTGATCGAATGAATCAACGGTTTTCTGTAGTCAGCGGTTTTCCGGTGGCGTTGCCTTGTTTTCAATCTATAACGCACTATTAGGCGCTAGGGGTGTAACCAGGATAAACAAATCATTCTCCCAGCCTTTTGAACTCGTGTGATTTTTTAATACAGCAGATATCCTCGCAGTACAGATGGTATATCATTTTTATCACGTTAGTATCACGGTTCGAAAACTATAAAATAATGTGGAGAATAAAGGTTATAAAACTACAATAGATACATAAAATGAGACCCGAAATTACAAATAAATACCAAATAAATGTCTACGAAAACCTAACTTACATTGCTGGGCCTTGGGATAAGTAGAAATCAAAGTATAAATGGAAATATAACTGTAGAAATACTCAATTCGCACATGGTCTCGATCTTCTCTCCAAAAATATATATATCTGACCTACGTCTTTGAGCCCGCAACTACCGCTGACCGGAAGTCCCCGGAGAAAATTAAACGGTGTGTGATTTTTATACGTAACAACAAACAGTACTTAATCAAACAAATGTTCAGCCATTACACAATCGACCGGTCGGTTGCTATGGTCGATCGGTAAGTTATCTTGTTGAAACATTTCGTTGCGTTTTTAAATTGACACTAGTCGGTTCTGAAATATTTGGTCGATCAGTCTCGTCTGTCGTTCAAAGCTGTAATATATCGATCATAACCGGTCGAATCCCGGGTGCGGACATTAGACAAATAGAGTTTGACATACTTTTTCACTATCTGCTGGTTCATATCATTTTCAAATACTGAGGAAAAAAAAGTTCGAATTGATTGGCAAATATCCATTGCCAAAATCCATGGGCCACCCGGGCCACTCTCAATTAGTCTTCAAAACGTAAAAGGCTTGAGATTAGACGTCATAACAAATAAGGAAACCGCAGCACCCTCTAATCCAAACATGAGACATTTTAACCGGATCAAACCCAGTTTCCGTTATACTGGAGTAAAAATACCGACTACTTTGTCCGTCCTGGGAGTAGGCTCCAAACGCCCACACGATCAAACATGATTTTCTTAACGTCACGACCCAAGCCCTTAGTACCATTAAAAGCTTGTTAAGCCCCGTTCGTTTTAAGGATATCCAAGGCGCTAATGACTTGCATTTACAGACATGTATCAAATGTTAAAGTGTATATCAGGTCTAGAATTTTTTTACGGTTTTGTCATCTCTAGATGATATAGATAAGTATTCCAAAAAAAAATTTTCGATTTCGAATTTTTTTCACCTCGAAATCAGCCTTCAAAGTTAGATTTCTGGCGACGCCCA